ATAGTTCCTTTATAAAGATCTATACTATTAAGTTAAATGTTAATTATATATTATTACATCTTCTTTATCTCTTAATTCTTATTATTCTCCTTCTCTGTCTCCTTCATCTCCTCTGCCTTCTTCTACATCCCCTTCTACTTCTTCTATACTTCTTTCTTCTCTTGCGCCTTTTCTTCCTCCTCTGCCTCTTCTTCCTTTGCCTCCCCTTCTTCCTCTTTCTCCTCCTCCTCTATCTCCTCCTTTTCCTCCTCTGCCTTTATTACTGCCTCTTCCTTCTCATCTAAAGCAATAGAGATAGGCCTCTTAACGAGGAAAGGCAGGCTATATAAAGGAGGAAGAGGAGGAGGAGAAGGAGGAAAAGGAAGAGAAGGAGGAGAAAGAAGAGAAAGAGAAAAAGGAGGAGAAGGAGGCGAAGGAGGCAAAGGAAGCAAAGGAGGCAAAGGAGGTGAAGGAGGTGAAGGAGGCGAAGGAGGCAAAGGAAGAGGAGAAGATTTTAGCAGCCTGCAGTTTTTCTACAGAGAGAACTAAGCGTTTCGCAGGCTGTATAGCCCTCTTCAGCAGCGTCAAGGGGCTTTGTGATAGTTCAACACCATCGTTTTCTATCCTGAAACTTAATAAGGAGACAAAGAATACACAGCTATTACTTCTATGAGCATTACAAGCAATATCTACGCCTATTTCTTACGCAGTAGACGATTCCGTTTTTAAACCGCTTTTCACCCCGCCAGCACAGCAATTTTTGGGTCGCGCCAAGGAATTGCAACACTTTTGGGACGGGGTCCACTATTCTTCCCACTGGGGGTCCCTAAACTCCCCACTGTGGGAAGATTAGGGCCACCCTATTCTTCCCACTACCCCGAACGGAGATAGGGCTACTAATGTAGTAATAGGGCTTCCCAATATAGCTAGCTTGAAGAACTTGTAAAATTTTATAGGGCTTCCCCATATAGCTAGCTTGAAGAACTTGTAAAATTTTATCTGCGTTTTCGGTAGTTAGGTGTCTTCCAGGAACAGAATTACGTATTTGATGCATATCAGGAGGATGACACAGGGCCTCCACACGCGAAACGCACGATACGCTCTTGTAACGTATCATACCCTGGTATCTGTGGCAATGAGCATTGCTATACGCACTGAGTGCCAGCTACTGTTTCTGAGTTGATACATTGATACTCTTTATAGCTATTATATAAGCGAATGCTCCTCTGAGATAGAAGTAATAATCAGAATCTCATATCCAATCCAATCTAGATCCAGTTAAGTTACCTTCATACAAGTTGAGAGCATCTGACACACCAATCCTTATCCTGCAGAATGAATCCTCAAACGCCGCTATATTCTTCCTGCATCAGAACCAC